ATATATATATATATATATATATACGTTGATACGTTGAGAGAATAATCTTGAAATGACTTCATATTGAATTCATGTTGTCTTCATTACAACTCTTACTGTTTGTTATTCGACGCGTTAACAGATAACAGACAATATGTAACGTTTGATCTCTGAATTATAATGTAAAAGTCTTTTAGTAGTGCATCAACTGAATGGCTAAAAAGTAATATTTGTGTATTTTCCGTTATCATTAGATTTATCTATATATATTTCTACACCATTTTGAGGACAATGGTTATGAAAAATTTATTTTTTCTCGTGTATCAATCAAAGCTTGTGACTCTAAGATTAGAAAATACAAGCTTAGCATGATATCTTTGTGCAAATCCACATTTAGCTTTGAGTGAGTGAGATATTTACGCTTTCTAAAGCAATATAAATGATTAAAATATAATATACTATTATTATTCGATGCTACTAGTAATGTCTATATTTATACATAATGAGTTTACACATGACGCAACACATGCATATATATGACGTTTATATCGATTAAGGCTCAATAATCGATTATATCAATACAATTTTTTTATTATTATCGTGATATATATATAGAGTAAATTAATCTTTTATTGTGAAAGAAATTGTATAATTTTCTGGCACGTATTAATAACATACACGGCTTAGCATTTTTATTCTTTATATAAAAAGATTAAGTTAGAGTTATTTAAATAGCAAATATATAAATATTTACATATTTACTCAGAAACGTAGACTATTTTTGTCATTTATATTTTTAAGTAAAATCTGTTTATACAATTCAGATAAAAAATTATAAATAAGTTCAAAATCAGCAAACAATAATATATATTTATATATTATATTTATTATCTTTTCATTGGGCAATTTAAAAGTATCGATATGAATTTTGTATCGATTTGAATTTTGGTAAACAAATTTAAATCTGTAAAAAAATAAATAAAATACTTCTACGATAAAAACTTATTTTGACAAATATACCAGAATTTTTTTTTTAGATAATTTATATAATGCGGAACAAAATTTACTCTGTTTCTCAAAGATCCTCATTGCTGACGAAAAAAATTAAATTCATGTTACCGGCAGAAAGTTAATCTTGTTATATATGGCTTTAATAAGCTGTATACAATAATACAATTATTTCTTTCTCTCTGCATAAAATTAACAACTTCCTCCTGGCTGCAATTTATACAATAAGATGTGCACATATACATACGTGTAATTGAAAAAAACATTATGGACTATAGAGAAGTTTCGAAAATACTTTCACAGATTTCTGAATATGTACAAACTTATATGTTCTCAGCACGCTTAATGTTCTTTCTTGAAATACACAGTGTTTTCAATATTTTCTAATTTGCAGAAAATGAATGTAATATGAACGAAGATGAAAGAATAAATGTATAAAACTAGCATTGAAAAATCGAGAGAAGAGAAACACTATTGCCTTAAGATATAGATGCGATTTTTTAATATCTTGGAATTAGATATACGACAATTAGACACGCTAAACTGTAACAACTTGTTAACGGATTTTCAAGAAGTTTGACAAATCGAAAACAATATTCTCTTTCTTTCACAGGAAATACTTCTGCATTATAACTCATCTTATATCAAACATTGTAATATGTAACTGTTTATACCTGATAAGTAGTTAATTAATCTATTTACTGTGCGGATCTATCTTAATAGCGCTATCATCTTACCAATTAATAAACTGAGTAATTTAAGGTACGACGCAACTTAAATTGTCATAGACAGAGTAACTGAGTTTCATAATCATAAATGTGTTGCATGCTGATTACATATGATTACAATGATATTCTTTAAAGAAACAATTGCTGTCAATTTACCTGTTTTCTTACACGCATTCGATTTATGTCTTGCAGGAAACTCCTCCAAGTCAATACTATATAATATAGACCGAGAGAACATTGTGATACTCAGTGACTCGTATTATCTACTACGATTGACTTTTTATATTACGATTAATCAAGAATGTTATCTAGCTCGGTGCATTGAAAAATAACAAAAGTTAACTTTTGCATTACACTTATTAATCGTAATGTAAATGGTCATGCTGTCTTATAGCTTTTATCTGAAACTAGGTACAGATTACAAAATAGAGAGAGAGAGAGAGAGAGAGAGAGAGAGAGAGAGAGAGAGAGAGAGAGAGAATATGTATCGTTTAGCACTGTCAGATCGAAGTCATACGCATTCACTATTTTTCAATACAACAAATTCATTTGACATATTGCCATCTCTTCTATAATATAGATATATACATATAATATACATATATATACATATATATATATATACCCTCATATAACACACAATTTTCAATACATATACGCACATTCAATTTTATCCTTCGATATGTATGATTTTGTTAAAATATTAGATCACTTGTTATTTGTTAATATATAATGTAGAACAGTTCTAAGAGAAAAATGGTCTGGAACACATTGAAAATGTGTTAAAATTTCGGTCAATTAATAAACATTCGTTCCATCGGAAACGGATTATTCTCGATTTGTTTCTCTTTTTGGAATCTACATATCACATGATTAAAATCTTTTTGAATGTATTATGCACTTTTTAACGGAACATTCCTAAGATTCATGAATGCCTTTATCAAAACAAGTAATTAATCTCGTACTTGTACAAGGGGCAATGTGTATATCGCATGATTTCTTACAACTTATATAAGTTAAACCAGAGAAACTAATTTTTATTAAGCTTTAAAATGCTCGCAATATCATTATATTAGATTCAGAATT